AATAATATATTAATGTTACCTGATTAATTCAAACTATCAAATTATTATGGTTGTTTTAAAGTATCCTTTTCAATTCCTTTTAATTAATTAACAGTCATAATGAATGCATATGTAGAAACGAATACATCTGGTCGAAAATATCTAGTAGGAAGAGTTGCTCAAATTATATCTCATAAATTTCTTTATTATTTTCGAATATGAACGACATCCAACGATAAGAATGAGAAATAAATGAATACAATAAAAAATATATAAACATTTAAAATTATATCTTATTCTTTCTGTGCATATAAGCATTTAAAAAATCAGGTACAATTGATAAAATACGATTTAAAAGACCGATACAATTTCGACAACTCTCCTCTGACTCTCGATCTAATAAATGTTTGAACATTTATGACATCGAGTGTATGTGTACCATATTTAACTTTCTGCGTTTGTGGCGACGGAATTAGCAGCTTTCACACGCCTTGCGTGAAATGGTACTGTTTGTATTTACAAAGTATAGCAATAATAGAAATAATTATCACTATTAACTGATCTTTGTAGCGAGATTTTACTAATTGCAGTGTTATACACTTATAACTAAACATTAATTATAAGTACACTTTTCAGTGAAGAATACACAATTCTATTTTAGAGAATGAATGCTCGCGGTGTACCGCGTCGTGTATTGTTCATCGAGTAACCATCTTATCGATAGTTGATCGAAACGACCAAGGCACTAGGAATTTGAATCTTTAGATTGCTCAATAGACGACCGTCGCGAACGTCGAGCGACGAAATTAACAGCGTCGATATCCGAATTCGTCGGAATTAGTCTCGACCTTAAATTGAACGACGCAGAAGGTCAACAAAATGGAAAATACCGCTGCTCGAGAAAATTTTTGTGAAAATTCGATCAATTGCATTAATCAATTTCCTCAGATTCGATATAACTCGTTTTTACATTTACTATATATATACCATTATTATATATACTATATATATATACATTATATATATATATATATATATATATATATATATTACATATACTATATATATATACATTATTGTACGTTATCACATCGAAATTTCACTTTTACTTCAGGCCTCTCTGCTCGGCAATCCGAGCAATCTGGATTATATTAATTTATGCGAGTGCTCTTACGGAACGAGAACTTGCCTCCTTGAAGAAGTGATGCTCACATACCTTAATGCATTTTATTCGTATTATTTTCATCGTTTTCTCAATGACACTTGTGCCAACCATTCTTAAACTATTGTCATAGAATTAGAAACTTCCAACATGAACGAATAGATTATCAGAAACTTTCCTTATGGACTTCGACTGCGTGTTATTATTATGTTATTTAATTGAACTGCCCATAATAATAACTATTTTGCTTTACGAGTGCGAATAGTCATTTCCGACGTATTGTTAATCGCTAAATGTGAGTCCAATATCTAAATTTGGCTATTACGTCGCAATTTTTACAGAAATGGCGTAAACTGTGTCAAAAAGACGTCAAATAGATAGAACACGATAATTTTGCTCATGTTTTGATATTTTTGATAATATTTTTGTAATAATTTATAATTTTATAATAATAATTTTACTGAAGTATTTTCCTTTTAATTCTGATAGTATTATGTGCTCTAGGCTTCAGTGAAGTAATGTGTCAAACGCTATTAAAAAATAATAAGAAATGTATTATTTTTGAATTTTAAAAATGGCCATTTTATCCAAGTTTATTCTATACAAACACATAATAGCAGACGTCGCTACTAGAACTCATCTATCATATCTCGCGTGATCGTTTATAAATCTTCTTTAATTAATATCTTGTTTAATTATTATTAATTATTATGAATATAACAAAACGATACAGAACTTTTATGTTCATCCGTGCTTAATTCGTATTATGTCTCCACGAAAGCTTCGAAGGTTATTTTGGAATATCCTGCATATATATATTTTTTTTTTTTAAACTATATAGCATGTAGACATTTTTATTTTATTTCGTTAATGTTACGTAAAAATGAAGTTAAAAGCTTATGTTTCCTTGTTTCCTGTCGTGGCCATCTTGATTTATAATGTCAAAAGGAAGAAAACACGCTAAAAATTCTTGCAAAATACTTTCAAATAAAATATTACAAAATGTTCACACTAGCAATTGATATATTAAGCAGATCTATTAAATAGCACGAACATTTTTCTTTTACTCTAACAATCAATAACTGTATAATTAAAGTAATAGAATCATGAGGAAACACAGATTAAATGCTACATGTCATGTTAATCTTACGGTAATTTATTAATTGTTAAAGCAAAAGGGAAATGTTTTACTATTTTACAGATATGTTCTATTAGTTACAAGTATTATTTTATGAATACATCTCTTTGATTTGATCGAATTATAAAAGAAGTATTTATGTAATTGAATCATGTTTTTGGCAAAAAAATTATAAAATTACATAGAAAGATATGTGTATTTAGATGAGTATTTTATCTTTTAGTATAATATTTAATCGTTAAAAGTAAGTGACAGTAAAAACGAAACAAATTTCTTGCTTATATTACTTATTTATATTGATTTTTTATATGAGCTGAAATATTTAAATTTCTGATAGAAATAATAAGATCATATAGTATTTTAATAAAAGTTGTATATATTTCCATCAGTCTTTATCGAATTTTTTAAGGGCTTTCTGTGTCAACGTATTTTGCAATAATTTTTAGCGAATATTTTTTCGTTTCCGACATTATCAATCAACAGTTCCGTGGCAAAATATCAGGAGTTTCCAAACTTATCTTATTTTGTATCAATACGATTCTTTGTTTTGGAGATACAGTTATCTAAAAGTAATCCTTCTCCTATGTAATATTTGGAGAAAAAACATTAAATTCTATCTTAATATTACATTGTTTGAAAGTGAGTGCTTTTTATATTTATATAATATAATCAGAAAATACTAAATAAAAGTGCGACAACTTTGGCAATTTCATATACTTGTTTGTTTACATTATAGTCAACAACATAATCTATTTATAGACAAATGCGTATACAAAATTACTGAAATTATTGCTTTTTTGTTTAATATTTTTTGATTATAATCCAAATAGACTTTCATAATTTTTACGACGTGAGATAACGAAAACTTTACAATTGTTTTAACTGCATTTATGAAGCAAATATATTGTACGTAAATAACTACTAAAATATCATCAAGCGACGCTAAGTGCATAAAGACGAGTATCCTCTGAGAATGATAGGATTGAAAATGACTATGTTTATGATATATGACGATCGCGATATCAGCTTTCTCGGTTATTTTTACGTCGATCGTACTTTTAACTAAAATATCTCGAGAAATAAAGTAATTCTAAAAATCTAATAACATTTCTGACAGAGAAACGTTAATATAAACTTTCAATTGTGACTAATCTGATAAAAATAGTTACGATCATTCTTGAGATCTGAGACATTCTCCCAACTTAAAATACAAATTTTTAGCGAATAATAGTTTTTCTTCTAGACATTAATTGTTTAAATCTCTTGTAAACGTATGTGGCAATGGTGCTCTAATATAATTTAAGGCTTTTATACACATCAGTTATTTACACGTAAATACATTTGAATATGTTTGATATGTGTTCAATTGATATACCTGATTACAAAGGTAAAAAACAACAGGTATATAAAAATGTCCAAATACATATACAACAAAAAGTAATAAGATATAAAAAAATACATTGAACATATAATGTAAAAAAATATATAATGTAAAAAAACATAAAAACATAATGTAAAGGATACAATACAATCTAATTATTACTTAGCTTTTAAAGTATTTATGAAAAAATCAACAGATATTTCAAAACATGCCTGTATCTCTATAAAATATTGTTTCAAGCGGGATGAAAATCAGGATGATTATCAGGATGAAAATTTGCACTAGAGAGAATACAACAGCTTGAAGTAACTTTGTTAATAATAAATATAGACTTTTTGTTATATTGACGTAGCATGCAATTTAAGTTACACACAGGTTTTCATACCACATTTTATATAACATATTGTTTGAAGCAAATTTTCATTATTTTTTTCGTATTTTTATTTTGTTATGCTAATAAATGCTGTTATGTAATAAATACGAGTGTTATACGAACTACTCATAAGGGGTGCAACCTTTATGTATCCCTATTAAGATAAATGTCCTAATGACTAAACTAATAAGAAAGCACGATTAGTTTTACATGTTTATTAATAAATAATTAATGGAATTACTAACAAAACTAACTCATGTCCTAATTATTTAATAATACAGACTCGATGATTAAATTCTCATTAAATAATATTACGAATTGACATAAATATCTTTTAACAAAATTTTAAACTTTTTTAAAAATATTAAATGCAAATATTTTATTAATGTTTCAATTATTGGGATGTTCAATCTTCAATTATTGGGATTTTACTTACTAGTAAAGTTGCCACCAAATTACATATATTCTGTTTGTATATATAGGTACAAAAAGCACTCATTTTCTACAGAATGTTGCATTAAGATAGAATTATATTTTTTTGAAAAGGACTATTTTGAAATTACTATCTCAAAAATGAAAATTATATTAAAACGAAAAAAGTGCATTTTAAAGTCTAAAACTTGATGTTAACAATGAAATAAAAAAATTCTGCTGCTATTAGAAAGTTATAAAATCCTTGAAAATTGTAATTTGTAGCCCATTTTATCCTATTTTTCTCAAAATTATGAAGTAATAACCATATTTGGACAACAGATTCGTATTTAAATTCGACTAAAAATATGTCGGAAATAATTTTTCACAATTTCTATTATTCTCCCAACTATTCACATTTTTGGAGCAAAAGAAAGGCCATCATTTGTTAGACAGTGTTATCAGTCGCTCGCTCGCGGATGGTGAGAATCCGATAAGAATTATGATTCCTTGGCGAAGCAAAAAACAAATATCATGAGCATTAATTGATCAACAGATGTGCATAGTTGCTATGTTCAATATTTAGACAACGAGTTACACGTTCGCCAAATTGATTGAAGTGCATCGATCAACAAGTGCAACGGACTACAGGTTTCGAAAGACGAAGGCGCTGCGTGAAGAAATATCTTGAACAAAGATGTAGGATCGACGCGAAGTGTTTTGGAGCCGATTAATTTTCGGACACTCACACGTTTGATCGCGGAATTGCGTTACGACATTTCCCTGCGAAGTGCGAACAGCGATAACTGCGAATCGAGATGTTCGATCGGGAAATGATTTTCGAGGCTCACGGCGGTCGCGCAGCGTCAAGAAGTTAAAGATCGGCACGATTACGAGTGCAAGAGGAGGAGCCGCGAAAAGATCCGTCTGGTGAACTCGAGTGGGCAGCATCCTGAAAAATAGGCGGCGTGGTCTTACTTAAGATGGACTCGGTGGCGGTGACGGTGCCGCTTCGTCAGCCGACGAAAAAGATGAAGAAGCGAAAAGAGCTCGACGCCCTGGCACCGGCGCACGCTATTTCCCGCCGGAGTTCCGGCAAACGCAGTTCGCAGGTGATTAATGAGTTGTGAGAGATTGGATTCTTTTTCTCCAAAATAAGAACGTCGAGCGGTCATTAGTCTTTTTGAGTTGATACAAAGATAATGGATAGAATAGAAACAATATAAACATTGTAGCGTTATTCCCAGCGCTTTTATCATTCGAGAAGAGTCATACGCGCTTACTTTTTCTCCCTCTCTTTTTTAGGAATTGTTAACAGACAGCAGTGACGATCGTTCGGAATACTGGAACGTCTCCACTAGAAGCGGTCGTAAATGCAGGAGTAGGAGAGGTCGCGCTTGTCCTGGATTCCTCAAGGCTTGTAGCGCCTTTTTGGCATGTGCCTCTATACTAGCAACCGCCAGTTTAATATGGCTGTTCATTGACGTTCGTCAGCAGCTTACCGCTCTGCGAACCGAATTAGACCAAGGTACAGGTCTAATGTTTGTCATGAACTGGCAGTGCATTTATTAAGCTACACAATAGCGATAAAAAAGAAAAAAAAAAGCTAATCGAGAACTTTATTGAGTTTACAAGCGTGAAAAGAAATATTCTACGTAGACACTTTTAATTAGAACCTTTCAAAACTCAAGTTATACTATTGCGATATCTCATAAAGTCGCACTTTTATGCTTTGTGTGCAATGATAATAATTTTCCTCTCTCTCTAAATCTCCTGTGAATTGCAGTCATAGCGGGCAGTGAAAGCGTTCCGGACGCTTTGCAGAAATGTCACTCATTATCGAGAGATCTTCAGAATAACCAGACTATTATTTTCACTAGACTGTCTGATCTTAAGCAGCAGATAAACAATTTCACGATACAGGTAAAGCCTCACGATTAGCGTCAATAATTCACGTTATCGAAATGAAATGACTTATATCTTCTGTATCCATGTTGTTTTTGCAGCTGGCGCATGTTCAGCAGGGTTTGCACAAAGTACAGCAGTGTTTCCAGGCTGCGCCCGAGCTGGCCAACATACCTGCACTTTCCAGTAGCGTTGCAACATTCGGCAGTCAAATAAGAGACCTCAAGGCTACGGTAAATTCTCTGAAAGAAACTAATATGAGGATACAGGATGCACAAACCACTATACAGCAAAATATCAGCAGTATTAAGGTAAAAATATTTCCCACTACCTCGTGGGTAGAACTTTTTACTTAGTAACATAAATTGACGCAAATATTACTTTGTTTTTATTTCCGTATTCAATATATAACAAAGAAAAGACGCTTAATTCGGCTTACGTCATTGAATGACAAGTATTGATATAAAACATTGTGGTGACAGTTACAGTTGATTAAATATTTCATTATTACGTTCGTAGAACACTATATTAGAATTGTCAAACATTACTCAAAAGCCTCAAATAGTGAACACTGATGAAGTGCAGATTAAGACTGACAAACTGAATTCTACAATATTGCATTTAACGAATAATGTGACGCATATTAACGAGACTTTGTCGAGCAAACTGCAATGGGTCGCCGATGATCAAGATAAAGATCGCGTAAGTATAATACAACATAGATTTAACATAATAAGTACATAATATACAGGGTGTCTTAGACCTCTATGATCCTTTGTGAGAACGTAGGATGGATTGAGGTGAGCAAGAAAGTCCTGTGCCGTTTTACGATATTCGCAATAATAGTCGAGATATTAATTAAAAAAGATTGGTGAATGATCAGGCGCGATATGGTAGATGAGCTGCAGTGGCGCCGTCTGCCGTTGTATACTTATACATTAAGTCAAACTGAACAAAAAAGTCCTCTACCATTTTGCAAATGACCACATAGATTTTTAAATATTAAAGAAAATTGTTACATATATGATTGTATACTATAAACAAATTTTCAAATTTTCTTTAATTAATATCTAAAAATCTATATGGTCATTTACAAAATGATAAATAACTATTTTGTTCAGTTTAACTTAATGTATAAATATACAATGGCAGACGGCGCCACTGTAGCTGATCTACCATATTGCGCGTGATCATTCACCAATCTTTTTTAATTAATATCTCGACTATTATTGCAAATATAGCAAAACGGCACAGGACTTTCTTGATTAGCTCAATCCGTTCTCACAAAGGGTCAACATGGAGGTCTGAGACACCCTGTATATATCTAGAATATCATTTATTATATTTATGTTTGTTCTTGCAGAAAAAACTAGTTTCACTTCAAGAAGCAACAGCAGCTATTAACACAACAGTGATGTCTTTACAAGGAGAATGTGTTAAAATGTCTGAACAAGCTTCTATCCTAGCATCGATTCAACAATTAAACGAAAAGGTTTGTCATTAACCATAAAGCTTTATTGATCGACATACAACAATTGTTACCAATTGTGCTTAATACACAGATGAACGAGATGCGTGCAACGGATTCAGAATTAATTGGCAAACTCAAGCAGTTGGAACAAACGTACAAGGGACTAAAGAACTCCACTAGCATAATGTTCGCGACCGTGAATGATATTCAGAATCAGCAACAAATTAGTAAAATAAAATTAACAGATTCGTTAAACGGAGACATGACCACAGAAGCAGATCGCGGTGCAACAGGTGCGTTAAAGTCATATATAAGAAATTACGATTGAAAGATTCTTAATTATAAATTTATATCTGTGGATAAAATGAATTTTATATTGTCCTATTGTCGCCTCGTATAGATGTAAGTGACATTGCTCAGAAGAGGATTCCAAACGAGAGGCCGAGGCACCTCAATTAGATTCCGATTAACGTGAGCTTGGAGAGGAATGAACGAGCATTGGAAAAAAAACTCGTGTGTATGAAAGCCATTTTGTACACTAATAAAGCTGTGTATTTGTAAATAATAATAAATTAAGTATGTTATAATTCTATGTATATAGAAAGACTATTTATGATCCGGATTGTGTATATTCTCGCATAGTGTGGAACTGTTCACTGGAATCTGTAATTAATACCTACGTTGGTTTGGAAATTGTGAGTGTGTCGTGGCTTAGAAGATGCTATTCACGCCGAGCAATAACTCTTAGCGCTCATATAGATTTGTTAATGTAAAATGTATAACAATTATTGTGTATTCAACCGATAGATTCGAAGGACGATTAGATATGTAAATTTCTAACTATACTGGACACTGCATAGCAAAAGAAGTATTTCAGAAATACTATGGAAAGTACAAAATCTACAGCCGTCTACGAGCACTTTTTCTCGGTGTAGTGTAGTGAAATGTTCATATTCCAAGTAACGGCGATGTATGACTAAAAGTTTTCTACTCTTCTACATTTTATAGAGTGTAGTAGTACGCTCTGGTACGTTTCTCTTTATGGCATAAAAATGTAGATTTCATCAGATTGCAGAGAGAAAGTCGTATATAGATAGCTAATATAAAAATATTAATATGTACAGAGAGATACAATAGTTACAGTTTAATTACAGTTTTTACTAAACAGTTTAGATTAATTACAATTTTTACTAAACAGTGATAAAGCAATGAAGAATTAAATACGACGATTATACTTCCTAGTTACGATATGTTGAATACACAGAGAAATAGATTTCTTTGAATTTAATAAATTTTATTGTATCCAAACAAATTTGATCGTTGGAATGATCTAAAGAAACTAATTTGACTTTCCAAATAATTTTGTTGTTCGGTTCAAAGAAGAAAAATGTTTCACTTAATTTTATCATTTTACTAAAAAATTGATACAATTTTGTTGAAATAATATTAAGAAACATAATATTTCTTTTTTTGCATTATTAACAGTTTCTTTTTACCACATTATCGAGAAGACTTTTTACCACCCTCCTCCCTTCGTGATTCTTTATCTAAATGCCTATGTCAATTATCTCATGATGCGGTGACCAATCCTTTTCCTGATAACGGATTTGGGTTGCTTGACTTCAATGGTCGAACAGGGAATTATTGATTTCAATAAACTCTGACGATATATTTATAGCATTACGCTTATAATATATCCTTATAGTCCAAAAAAGTTTTTCCATACCATACCTACTAATTATTTGAAACGATGAAACAACAATAATATAATTGTTGCATCGATATGTAACAAATGTTGACAGAATGTAAATTAACGAACCAATAACGACATAATTGCTCTCGGATTTTTAACCAAATATTATATTGCTAAGTACAAACAATAGATTAAATTTAAAAGCGAGACAATAGTTTTTTCTCAAACAAATAATATAGTTCAATCAAACGAAACATGAGAAATTTAGAATATAATTAAATATATTATTTAATTGAAAACTTTTTTTAAATAATGTTTTTTTCTATCAAATAACGTGGTTTAATTTAATACAAAATTATATTTAATATAAAATTATGTTGTTCAATATTAAATAATTTTGTTGATTAAATGAATTAAAATCAAGCAAATAGGAATACTAAATCCAAAGAAAACTTTCTCTCTGAGTAAATTTGGAAGATCGAAAAAATATACTAGTAATATATGTTCGTAATTCTTTATTTAACAAAAAATAAATATTATTTTTGTATGTGTTATCTGTGTCAAAAACAGACGGAGATAACGAACCCTTTAATACGACAGCTGATAATTTAGTTAATTGATAAATAAGAGTTAAAACGGTGTTTCGAACATTTAATATAAGAATATATTACGTTTTTCATCAAACTGTTATATAATTATAAATAGATAGGATACATATACACACACACACACACATAAAGATTAGTGTATATTCGCATGTAATTATTTTGCACGCAGTCTTATATAAAGCAAATCCAAGCTATTGGTACTTTATATCCTTATGACGATGTCAGAAATCGTTGGAAAATGAATTTTTTGAAATTACAATTTTGGCTGTACTCCTTCCCTTTCATGTACGTGTTTGCGAATTCAAAAAGATAATTACGTGCGAGTACGTAAATCGTCTGCGGCAATATTGAAATAAATCAATAAAAAAAAAAGGAATAAGAAGAAAGAAAGATGTAGAGAGAAAAGAAAATATATACATGTTTGAGGTTGGTGTTTATTCTAGCCACTTTGCCAAGTGACGGTAATTTAAAAATAAAAAAGCGCAACCAATTTTTAATGCCTCATAATTTGAAGCTTATCGCCTTAGATCTCGGCATGCCCCTCTCGCATGCCTTTGAGACTCGTGCGATTGGTCGGCTCTTGTAATTCTATACGATGCATCTGTGCAACATATGCAGCACGTCCCCATAGTTAAGGTCGCATCGCGCGAGGACGCGACTGACTCGGTGTCGTCGGCTGAACTTCTCCCATCTCGATTACGTCAGTTGGTGGTGCCATGCGAGTGTGAATTTTCACGTAATTCAGGAACCGCGCCACGCGCCCATAAATATTCACAACTAAGCACACAAGAAAGAAAATCCAATCGTGTAAGTACAGGATCGCGCGAATTGCCATTACGCCTCGCTGCCATCGCTCCGGATTTACGTCTCGTGTCTTCACGTCAAATTGGATTGGCGTCGCCTTTGTTTCCCTTTATGTCGAGAAATTGAGTTTCACGAGTGTTTCTTTCATAAATTTGGTATATTTTTGTAACGTATTTGTGAAGAAATCGTGTCTGAAGGATTGTACAACTTTATTTAGTCCAAATGTAAATATATATCGATTCGATAAAATGCACCGATATATCCCATGATATAACGCGAAGAAAACATCAGGATTATGGAAATCAAGTCAAGGCGAACGCAGTCACTTAACAGTTGCTTTAATATAATTCAGCTACGCGTCAGTATTGTCGAGAAGTAAAGTTCGAAAGTCACGTCGATCCATTTAATAGTGATTGCAACAAAGGAAAGTACAATAAGGTAACGGTCCCAATCAGTTAGCAATCGAGTCCCAATTAAAGAAGGTTAAAGGTGAATTGAATTAAAGGTTAAAGAAAAAAATTAATTTTTACCCAATCCTGTTATTATTTCAGAAAATAAATCTAGGATATCATTTGCTTTACTAGTTTTTTAGATTTATAAAAATGTTGGTAGATTATGTGTGTGTCTCTTAGGAAAAATTACTTTAAGATGTTCAAATTAATTTAAAGTTGCTTAAAGTTACTTAAAGCTATTTATATTTAACTTTAAGTAACTTTAAGCAACTTTAATTTAATTTGAACATCTTAATGTAATTTTTCCTAAGACTACGTATATAGACTAAAAAGAAATATAATATTTCTAAAATAAATTATTTAATATAAATTATTTAATATAAAATAAATTATTTAATATAAATCAACATGAATATATATATATGTGTGGACATGTGTTTTTTATTTTTTTAAGAATCAATTTAAAGTCTAATAATTTTGTTTTAAAACTATGATGTTTGTTGCTTATATGTATATTAACAGTTTCTTTTACTGTTTGATCGATAAATTTATGTAAATGAATAAAAGTTACTCTAATCATAAATAACTACTTAGGATCGTTATCTTTCAATTGTAACATACATAATATAAATCTTTCAAAAACCCACGAGTGATCCTTCTCTTCTTTTTTCTTTTAATACCTAGATCTTACGCAAAATGCATTTGTATTCCCCATTTTTAAATAAAATGATATTTTTATAAAAGAATACCTGAGGTCTTTTGAGCATACTTGTACAGTCGGTTAATTTAAGTGCAAAATATTTTTCTTCTATAGCGTTCGGGGAGACGCTATTTAGCGCTATGAGCGTGTTCTGTCCTTCTTCAATTTTCAGTAACAAACAAAGACAAAACACGCTCATAGCACTAAATAGCGTCTCCCTGAACGCACCCTATGAGTTATGCAACGTATTCTATATCTAATGAGAAAATGTATTTCGCGAAAACTACTGAAAAATAAATTCTACTAGATATGAAATGTGTTACAAATCTCATCAAGAAAAAGTGTTGCAATCTTTAATTAGCCGACTGTAAAATGTCCTGAAAACTATTCTTTTCTCTTTAACGTGATATGCAACATTTTTTTTTAACTACCTTCCTTCATGACTATCATTTTAATTTTACGGCTATTTATTGACTGTCAGAAAAAAATAATTTTCAAAACATTTTATAAATGTGATGAAATGTGTTAAAGTGTTCTTTCATTCAAATATCTTTTTATTTAAAAATGGAACACAAAAATTTTCAACGCGTTATGACGTCACAAGCTAACATGGATGGCCGCGGCGACCCACACAGCAGAGATGTCTAAAATATATCATAGGAATATCCTAAAGATATATTTGGGATATGTGATATCTTCAAGATATCCTTATGATATATTTAGCATATTTCTGTTGTGTGGGGAGTACTCGGGAATCTTGACAGCAAAGCAAATCGATTACTAATGAATTTTCCAAAAAATGTGTTATTGTTTCACGAGATAATCTCGTCACATTCGCGACGCGTTCAATTGACACAAACAAAGCGGCGTCACTTTATCATTGACCATGCGAGCGACGTATCCGATAGCTCGTAGTGATTGATCGGTTTGAGACTCTTGACTTCATTTAACTTCCAAATCTTATGTCTCGTTTTCAAACATGCAACTAGTCACTCCTTAAAGTTCCGGTCGCGCGATTTAAAGTCCTCTTACCCCACTCCTATTTTTAAATGCCAACTTTAAATTCCCCGACAAGACGTAAACGCAGCGACGCTCTCGATCACTGACCTCGCTAGTATACATTCGACCGATGCGCATACTGTATCTTGCTCACGGAACTCCGAACAAACGAGTTTCGACGTTGTTGTCTTTCATTATAGATATTTGCCATTGTCAGGAGCACAATATCCTCTCTCTTCTTTCTTTGAATTCAATTATCATTAAAGATAGGTTTTCTCTCTTGTTGACTTTTGTACCGAAATCATATCATGCAGTTAGCATGATTCTCTTTACAGAAAAGACTCCGAAAAGTTATCCATAAAAATTAATGAATTATTCGCTCTCCAATCAACATAATAATAGAAAGAAAAAATATCTATGAAACAAAAAAATACTTATTCGGTGGGTACTAATAACATATATTTATTTATATTAATATAAAATATTTGTCAAATAAAATATACATTTTCTTGAAATCTTAGCTTTACCTGAAAGCAATTGTATTTATTGTATTTATTGTATTTAAATAAAACAGAATTTAGATTTAAGTAAATATATATTATTAGTACCTGTCAAATAAATATTTTTTATTTGCCAACTATTTTTTCTCTCTGAATGTATAATCAATATATAATGAATTTTCAAGTCATGTTTTATATGTAGAATGAGAACATTTTTATATTTTTATTGTATAAAAAATTTTACGTACAGTAACATACAGTACGCTTACGATACAGTATGCGCATCGGTCGAATGTATACTAGCGAGGTCAGTGATCGAGAGCGTCGCTGCGTTTACGTCTTGTCGGGGAATTTAAAGTTGGCATTTAAAAATAGGAGTGGGGTAAGAGGACTTTAAATCGCGCGACCGGAACTTTAAGGAGTGAAAATATAAGTAATGGTATATACATATGTATAACTAAATATATAACTGCTATGAACTATAATATAGAACTACTTTTATATATATTATACACGATAACTTTAATTCGATTTAACAACGTAGTTTGCTCCCAGACAGTACAAATGTCCAAAATTGAGTCATAAGACGTCTTTAGAATGTCTTTAAGACATCTTTAAGACAATACCTTATAAACTTGTCTTAAAAATGTCTTAAAGACGTCTTATGACTCGATTTTGGACATTATACTGTCTGAGTTAACTCTTGCGTCCCATTTGTATATTCTGTTAGGTAAAAAATTATACTCCAATTAAATGCAAGAATTTATTAATTACGATTACTAAACCGGATTAACGTTGTCGTATATCAGGAGTCATTGTATATGTACATGTTTTTATTTTTTAAATTATATAGCAACAACTATAAATGTATTGACTAAATAAATTGGATGTCTTAGTCAAAACATTTGATAGAATTACGTAAGAAAAATCTATATAACTAAATCGTGTTTTTGGTAAAAAATGATAAAATTATATAGAAAGGTATGTGTATTGAGATAAATATATAGTCGTTTAGTATAATATATATTTGAAAATAAATTACAAGACGTTAAAAGTAAATTACAAGACGAAAAAAATTGACAACTTTTTTATAGCTGAAATTATAAGTTACAGATAAAGTCATATATTTCCATGAAATTTATGTAATTTTTACCAATTTCCTTATGGAATTTTTCGAGCAGAGCTTTTCTCTCCTTTTGCAATTTTCAGACATACTTCTCAATCCTATTCGAATGAAAACGTCAATAATTTTTCCAACTGAGCCAAATTTGAGTCGCTCGGAGAGCAAATAATGACATGATAAATATTATTATTACAAAACTTGACATCATTGATCGCTCGCCCATAATATTATGCAAATCTGCCTGTTTCAATTCAAAACGTTATTGTATGTACATGCATTTCGTCATCTTTGGCTGCGTTCCGAAATTCACTTCCAGTACTGAAAATCTGTAGTTCATGTCACATATACTATAGAATTTCAGTACTGACAGTGAACTTCGGAACGCAGCCTTTATCTCGTATTCATGATCGATCAATCGATCGGTCGGATTGCGCGGCGACTTCTTGTCTACATGTTCGTCAATTTCCGCCGCACTTCGTCTTACGATCGCGTATTCCACAGTATTGCGTCGCACTGCATTTCGCGTGTGTGATTATATCCGCTCCACCAGCTGGAAACGAACAATACTCGGTAGAGTAACCAATGATACGCGCTACGCTTTCTCTTCCTCAATTATTTATTTGTTTTTCAAGACGCCATTACGCTAAGCGTGCGTATATTCATATTACAAAGGCCATTCGTATTAATTTGTGACACAACAAACAGTATTTTTTTTATGTTTTTGTATTAATTTATAACATTGCTCATGCATAATGAGATATTTTCATTGATCTCGTGTCTACTTTCGAGTATAAAGCTACTTTTCAAAACATCTATGGGCGAGTTTTTTAATTCATCGATGGATCCATCGCATGATGCGTAAATACAGCGAAACGTTGCATTTGCGCATCATGCGATGGATCCATCGATGAATTAAAAAACTCGACCTATCTTCTCCCATGCGCACTTTTTAGGATCGTCGAGTCCTTGAAAATTTACTGGCTTCGGACCCTACGAAGTTACCGTTCGCCTCTGCTCACCAAAATTCCGAGAGCGAGTGCGCCTCGACGGCAGCAGCTCGAACGGGTGAAAAAGGGTTAGGAGGGAGAAAGAGGAAGAAGCGGAAGATAGCGAAGGAGCACGCGCGACGACGACGGAGGAAGAGAGAGAGAAAGAGTGCGCGCGCGCGCTCTTGCTCACTCGGTTATTACGTCAGGTCAGGGAAAGAAGCGACTCTCCGACATCTGCGCATTTCTTGCGTTCGCTCAGGGGAAAACTCCAAAACAAGCAACATGGCGGACCCGAGTAACGAGCCTGCTTCGTCGAGCGGCGTCTCGGAACAGGCTGGCACGCCGGCGGCGGTCGCGGCTGCCGCAACGCCGATGCGCGAAGACCTAGAGAAGGCCGAGGACTTCCTCGAGCCCGACAAGAAGCGTCGCAAAGTGGTGCGTGCTGACGGCAACAAGACTGAACAGAAGCTCGAGCACCGCTTGGGCGGTATCCTCTGTTGCGCAGTTTGCCTCGATCTGCCTCGGTCGGCTGTCTACCAGGTAAGTCCCCGGGCAACTGTGCCCATCTAATCGCGCGTCGTTCTCGTCGTCGTTGTCGTCGGAAATTTCCTTTGTCGTCTGAGCGAGAAAGTCGACGTGGCTCTCTTTTGTCGCATTCCGGCTTCCGTGAGTCGCGGCGTTCTTTCACGCTCGAGGATAATTGCGATTTACTCCCTTTACTACCTCGCCTCAACTCCTCTCCGACGACTTCGTCGATCGACCCGTTTACCAAGCTACGTAAGTCGATCGGTTTTTATACACCGTATATGTGTGTACGCGAGCTTTACTCTTTTAATGTGGGAGATGTACATGGATTTAGATCGTTTGTTATGTATATTAAAGAGATATCACTAAAGAAGCTTGAGTACCACTGAAAATCTCTTTCGGTGCGTCGTTTATGTAGTGTATTGTTTTTGTAAAAAACAAAAAAGATATAGTCTTAATACACAAAAATATTTCTGGAAGAACAGTATTTTTTTGTAGCGAATAGAGTTTGATCATGTCATTATTATTTTATTATTTGCAGAAGACTATACCTTTTCTTTCCCTTGTTTCATCCTACTGAAAAATTCTTTCTCTCTCTCTTTCTCTCTCTCTCCGTTTCCATATTTTGCTTTACCTTTCTTTCTTCACCACCATGAATTACAGAGATTTATTATCTAGGTACAGAATTTAACAAGTTATATCCTACTGAATTCTGGTCATCTTGTCTATTTTTGTTGTGGTATAATTCAAATATGAATTATAACATGATACAAGCAGACTTTAGTATCAAGTTGCTTAGGTCCCTATCTGCTTGATGCATTGATAATTATAATATTAAAATGTATACCACACTTCTTACGATTGTAATTACACAGCTTCCCATAAACTGAGCTTTACATACAGGTTGTATAATGAGATTGTCTATTAAGACCAGACAAGACATGTTATTTCCTGCAGGTAGGTAACTTAATATTTTTTTTTCTTTATAGGAAGGACAAAAATGTTTCTAATATATCAATAAAGATTCCCTTTATGCAAATCTGTAATACAATGAAATTTCTTTTTATGATATTTATAAATTAATTCGATATATATATATATATATATATATATATACATATATGTACACACACATTGTAAAACATATGTACATATCTTTGCTTTATGACTTTATTAGATATCCAACAAACGATTCAAAATTTTATTTTCTAGTGTCACATAAAAATTTATATGTAGAATCTTCTACATGTACATTTGTTATTCTCATATGATTATTCATATTGGCATCTCATTATAGTTATGTTTACGCGTGTATAAAAACAAACAGTTTATATTATTCCTATTACTGGGAGTAGATAATATATGCATAGAGTATCACTCAATTTGTCATGTATGTATGCATGCAATTATCCATATTTGTTTAGGACATTGATCATAAGGAGAATACTCATTTGTAGGATTCCCAAATTCACATTGGTGCTGTTAATTTTATCTTCAATACTTTTCTTTAGAGGATTATTGACATAATGGTGTAAAAAGATTTATAAAATTGGTACAACTGTTGTAACACAATAGGAAAGATGTAGCAGACTTATCTTGATATTTCTAATGTTAAATAGATATATGTGTAAACTCAGGCCTTTTATGCAAATATGCAAATAGTGCATAAATAATTTCATTTGTGACATGAAGATTTATCTATATTGTATTCTTTTAGTTGTAAACTTTTATAAATACCTTGCACTGTCCTTTTTTTACATAGGGTCTACCACACATTTATAAAGAACAACGTTTGTTTCTATAATCCTTAAAATAGCGGGATTTGGAACTTCACGTTTATTAGTGTCTCTCTATTAAATCAATTAGATAAATAGTAAATTAATTAAGATCCTAGATTTCTGTATAGTTGTTTAGTATATAATATAATAACATATTTGAATTTTATGAAATACATTATTATTATTATTACTATTATTATTATTATCCTTATTATTATTATAAGAGACTATTAGGAGGGAGGAATATATTCAGAGTACATACAATGACTATCAAGATCTATTGTAGATTAATGCGAGACTGATGCTCATCGGTTATAGTTAACAGTGAGAGAGTGAGAGTGAGGGAGAGAAAGCGAATACAGAAAGAGAAAGATTTGTACAAACTGTATAGTGCAGAACAAAATAAATATTCTTAAAGGTTATTAGTTAGTTATTTCGCATAAAATACCCTTTTTCACTTATCCTACGTGTCATCATCCTTGTCTCTTCCTTTCTGTCATCAATATATACTGGCACCATTAATGATAATTCTTTAGAGAGTATTCATGATTTAAACAGACAGTCTTGAGACAAGTGCATCTGTAATTAATAAGTACCCGTACGATTTTGTGTTTCAGGTTTAAACATCAAAATGATGGTAATATACATGGCACTAACCTTTTTGTTCTATTTGTGTTGATTTTGTTCCGGGGTTTCTGTAGCGTACATAAGTAAGAATGTAAAAAAAAAGACTAATACTGTGCGTAAAGTAAGAAAAAATTGATTCGTTTTTGCGTTCACGTGTACGTTAAAGTACTATATTGACTGTATATTTCGTCGTTTGTAACGAGAGAAGTTGTTAGAATCTACAATTTAAAGAACTATATCTTGGATAACGCATTTGCTTGAGAAATATAATGTATCATGTAAAAAAAGTTAGGTTTAGTCTTTTTTTTATATAAAAGAATTGTAACAATAAGAACGTTAATAATACATGCTGCAATGATGTTCACAGTGTACTAATGGACACTTGATGTGTGCTGGTTGCTTCACACATGTCCTCGCAGATGCCAGGCTGCGGGACGAATTGGCAACATGCCCCAACTGTAGAATCGAAATCAGCAAAACTTCCGCATCTCGAAATCTGGCAGTTGAAAAAGCTGTGTCTGAGTTACCTGCTGAGTGTCAATATTGCGCAAAGGAGTTTCCGCGTAACTTCGTAGAACACCATGAGGATGCTATGTGCGAGGAAAGGTAAATTCGTACAACTTACCGATAACGAGACTTTCGCAGTCGATGTCACCAACTAATATCTCATATTTCACGATATAATTACAGGTGGCCCGCAAACACATAATAGTAGAAGGCAATTGTTTATATGTACAAAAATATTATTTCTCTTATTTTAATTTGTACCACAGATTAAAAGTAACTCCCGAAAAAGCTTCTCTAAAAGTCCCCCTCCTCCTCTCCCTCTCTATTTCTCGTATCCCAATGTATTAGTTTTCTTTTCTCTGTACATACATAACATGTTTACGTACGTGCACATATTAATATCGACTTACTTGTACAGGATATCTAGTTGCAAATTCAGCAGGATCGGTTGTCCATGGCGCGGACCGAATCACGAACGTCTGGAACACGAGGCTCACTGCGTTCATCCACATCGCACGGGCGCGGATGTGATGGAAGCTCTGCTTGATATCGACGCTCGTACCTTAGAAGAACGTAGGCTCTATGACAATGTCTTTGATCTTTTGTCCTACGAGAAAATTACATTCAACGGTCTGTATGAATTGTTAGTTCATCATCATGTACAAACTCTTGTTTATATGTCACACGCACTAAAGTAAAACCCTGTAGATCTCTATAGCGTAAATATATTGTCGATGTTGATTTTTCTGTTTCTCTAGCAGCAACGGGAATCGATTGCCTCGATTGATCCGTATAACTAACTTTGTTATATTAATATTGATATTATAATTTTACATGCTTATCGTATCTCATTGTCTCCTTTTTATACAGCCACAGTCGCCACTCGAAGGATCTCGATTATCTGTAAGATTTTGTTATTTATAGATTTACAGATGAAGCCGTATCGTACGGACGAATTTGTTCATAAACTCTTTTACGAAACGTCACGATTCTCGGCTTTTAATAACCAGTGGGTAGTGAAGGCGAGGATTAATAGTAGTCAACGCGATCCTACACAGAGTTCGGAGCGCGACATGACTTATCAAGTATGAAAAACTGCATATCTTTTAGACGAAACATCAAGTTCTTCGTTGTGTTCTAAGTGAGCAGGATGCGGCGTATTTTGTAATCCGTGCAAAACATTTATTTTGTAGCTGATTCTAAAGTCAAAGACCACCTATCCTCTGCCGCTTCATTATTTGATCTTGAAAGGCCCATTTGGCGACATGAAAGTGCAACCGAGAATTCACAGATTCGAATTCACCGAACAGGACAATGAGAGTCCATATCTACCATTACCATTACCGGACACAGCCGAGTGTAATAGACTTCTCGCTGCTAAAGCTATCAATTTTAGGTAAAGGACCACCGATTCTAGAACAATATAGCTGTTGCAGTTACTTTATTACAATATAATACAATGAATGTGTGCGTGTGTGTATGTGTGTGACATGTATGAACAAAGCATAATTTTTCTTTTGCAGACTAATAATGTTCCTGGCATCTAAGTAGCTTACAACGATGATATATATTCTCAAGTTTTTGTCGCGAAACAAATCAGTGGACGAGAGATCTTCTAGATGTAACGATAATAAGGATATAGATTACAGAGATTTATAATCGTTTACAGTAGTGATATCGTCATGATAATAATAACAATAATAATATTATGAATAGAAGAACTCGAGGATGCTAATATTATTATTATGTATAAAAGTATATATGTTGACGAGGATATAAATTATATATTATAGTACTATAGTATGGCATGTGTGAAGGAGGAGGGTACAGTAATATTTAAATATTCTGAAAATTGGCGCGAGATTGAACTGCTTTGCGTCTCTTTGTAAACTTTTACATCTTAGAAGAGGGTAAAGAGCAGTAGTTTACGTAGTTGTTGTTAGACAGATGGATTAAATTGTACGTACGAATGGTATATAATGTAGTTTTACAAACGCGAAACAAAACTAAAATGAGCAAAATATCGCTCAGATGATACCAATTTAATTCGCATATCTGTTCGAGAGGAGCCTATTAAATCTCAAGTGTAGATAAATTAGAAGCTATCAATGTAAAATTCCGAATAAAAGTTGTAACATGCCTAAATACAATATGTTTATTACACCTAATATGATATTACACCTAATTTACATCGATATAACATCATGTTCATACATCTTGCGAAATCAAGACGCGAGAAAGAAACAAATTCTATGACGACTCTTAATAATCTTAATCTGCATTTATATCAAAGTTTGGAATAATTTGCAATACGTTTCAAATTTGCAATCCTGTTCTTGCGTTTGAACGACTGAATGTTGCCATTACAATTCTGTCAGATTGATGAACGTATTGTTGCTGGACTTTGGACCATTTGTGTTATTCGGAGGAAAAATTAGAGGATTTAGATTGCTCTCGGGTTGGCTGCTGCTGAGCCGACGATATTTCGACGTGGGTAATCTGGAATCAGGCTCCGAGCAATCTATCAACCAGTAAGACGTCACCCTGCCTTTTCCCTTCAACTCCACTTCCCCTCGAAGCTCGAGACCAAAAGTCCCGAACTTGTCCAAGATACTTTTCGTTGCTTCGGATACGTGTATCCTCAAAGCTGCAAAATAATTGCGATTATGTGTTAATCAAGCAACGTACAAATTTTTGTTATTACTGTACTATTCTATTATACTGTCAACACATAAATGTATCTCTGATTTAAATAGACAATTCTAGCCAATTTCATGATGCTGAGTGTTTTATGGTCGCAAATGTAATAATTAAAGTTAAAACATAGGTTTAATTTTCATGATATAGTAAGCAACAATCAAAAAGAAATTTCTTCAAAAGATTATCTCTTTAAAAGTTATTTTTTTAACTTGGATTTACTCAAATAGGTATTGTTCGGCATATTATCTGCTTAGCAATTAACACAAGCACTTAAAATCCATTTTTAATTAGAATTTTTCAATATATAAAAAAATCATTTGATATTATGAAAAGTACGGCAATATTACTATGATATTCTGATGTCATCAAAATTGTTGCTTATTTTGCTTTTATCGAAAATAGAACGCAAGTGATCCGAAACTATATTGTACTAATGGCAAATCAATATTTTACATAAAATTATGGCATAATAAATGACTATTAAAACAAACATTTTAAACATACCCAGTAAGCAAATTAAGTGCAGACTGCGCGCAAATTTGATAAAAAATTTACACCAAAACCATAACCATCTGTGTCTTCATTTACGATTTTGGCGACAGAGCTTGTTGTCGGGCAATTGCTGCAGATTTGCAGCAAAAACCGCGCAAAGCCTGCAGCGCAGCAAGGTTTCTGCCGCCAATTTGCCGTTAAATTGCTCTGCATGGTTTTTGCTGCAAATCTGCAGCAATTATCCGACAACAGGCTCTGTAGCATATCTGGCGACAGTTTGGCAACAAGATATGACAGATCTTGCATCAAATTTGTTATCTATTTGCCATCAAAAATTGGTAGCAAGTTCTGCTCGAAATCTGTTCGCGCAGGTTTGGCTATCTGAGTATTGGACTGTTTACAATAGCATTACACAGTATACATTAAATTTTTACATTCAACATCTGATTTTTTAGACTTTCGCGGTATCCATGCATATTAGATTTGGTTTACAGGTTTGAGCCGCGTAGATTCATCTTTGTTTGATTCCGACGTTTCGCGAACATTTCAGTCCGCTTCATCAGGGAGGAACGACCCGATGCCGAGTTGCTCGTGAGAAGTCTTCTTTTATATAGTAGTTGGCATAGGGAGAGACAGGAAGATGGGGGGAGGTTAGCAGGAGGGATGGTGGTGGGAAATTTGTTGTCTGTCATGTTTTGGAAACCAGGAGGACGCCAGATTGCCAGATTGGACTGATTTTTTGTCTATTATTCCTGTTGAAATTGTTGGGATACTTCTACTAGCGGAACACAATCTAGAAAGCGGACACAAAATCCTGTTCAACGGAATAACAGTACTGGCCAAAACTAACAACTACTTCCGTAGGAAATACAGGGAATCCTTGGAAATTCAAAAGTACCCCAATAATCTCAACAGAGATAATGGACAAAAAATCAGCCCAAACTGGCAATCCGTCTTCCCGGTTTCGAAAATATAGACAACAAATGTCCCACTACCATCCTCCTTCTGCTAATCACCCCATTTTCCTGTCTCCTCCCTCTCTCTCCCTCTATACCAACTACTATATAAAGGAAGAGCTCTCAGGAGCAACTCAGCATCGAGTCGTTCCTCCATGATGAAGCGGATTGAAATGTTCGCGAAACGTCGGAATCAAGTAAAGATGAATCCTCGCGGCTCAAACCCGGAAACCAAATTTAATATACGTTCAACATCTTTGGCAATATCTTGGTTTATTAATAACCGTTGTTTGAAACTTGTCTTACATAAAATACTCAGATTTGAATTTAGAGTTAGATGGGAGCTTTTTATTTGAATTATATAATACACATGACATTATATTCGTAATCGTGATTTAGCTGAAACTCACGTTTAACTCTAAATTCAAATCTGAGCGAGTTTCAAGTAATGACTATTCCCACTCGGCATGTTATATTACTGAAATGGTATAATCTTCGGTTATGGTGCAGAAATATTTCGCCAATATATCAATATTAAGTCAGGAATATTTCTGCAATCTATGAATAACATTTCATATGCAATATTGCATTTGTAATATTTCAAAAGGTTGATGAAAGATTCGACAGTTCTCAAACCATTGAATTTAGAATATTTCAGCAATATTGCAAATGAAATATTTCAAATGTAACGTTTCATAAATGTTACTGAAACATAAAAGTTATGTAACTTTTAGATTGCACGCATAATATTTCAATAACATTTTATGTACAATGTTATATTTGTAATATTGCAAATAATTTATACAAATGTATGTAAATAAAGTGATTGTAATATATGGATCAAGTACATTTAAAAATAATTTTCAAAGACATATTCAAAGAACAGATCTACATAATATAAAAGTATTTTTGAAAAATTTTGTTTTAAATGTATGTACAATTTCAAAAATTTTATTTGGATATTTGTATAAATTATTTGCCAAAATTTAACATGTCATTATTACTGTGATGTTTCGATGTTTCTGAAATTTATCGGCATCATTACCCTAATTTTTCAGAAAAATTTCTGATATATATACCTGATATATATATCTGATATATATATCTGATATATACCTAAAATATACGTAAAATGTTTCAGAAATATTTCTGAGATTTTTCTGTAATGTTGTAAGTGCAAGTGCGTAATATTTCTGCAATGTTTCTTTAATGTTGCGATATTACATTTCTATAACGTTTCTGAAATGTTTTAGAAATAGTTTTAACTTAAATAGCACACAATATTTATGATAAAGATTCATAAATATTTATGTCGAATTCTTTTTTAAAAATATTATATAAATATTTTAATATAAAGGGAAAAAGTATCAATATCTTTATTCAAAATATGATTAAAATATAGACTAAATATTTTATACAATATTTTATACAAATAATATTTTATACTAACTAAATATTTTATACAATATTTATAGTAAACAAGAAATAAATATTTGTAGTAATATTTTGTAAATACTTTTATTTGCAAATATTATACATGACAAAAATAAATGTAATTATTTATAACTATTAAATTAATGAAGAAATAAGAAAATCGAAATTTAAATTGGTAATATATACTGAAAAAATTCTTTAAATTAAAGAAATATATTTTGCTAAATATAATTTCCTAACTTAAATAAATATTTGTTAGATTTTAGAGGACATGTAATAAATATAAAGTAATATTTTTTATTTGTAAAATGAGCTGTAAAATTATGAGTTTCTAGATAAAAAAAATAATTTCTTTGATTTTTTAAAATATTTATATGTAAGAATAAGCAAATGATTTCCTTTCAAAACAAAAATTAGTTTTTTTTATTAATGTAAAAACTGTGTTTAAATAAATGTTTGTTTATTTTAAAAGTATTAATAAATGAAATACATGTAAATTTAAAAGTAATGAAATATAAGTAAATCATTTTATAAATCTAAATAAATTATTTTCTAATATTAAAAGTACCTTTTTTGTGTTTCAAATTAAAGTTTTTTTTTATTATCAGAAAACTATTTATTTAAATTTACAATGTGGTTTATTTGTATTTTACTTACTTTTAAAATAAATAAATATTTTTAAATATACTTTTTACATACTTTTTAAACATATTTTTTACATATGAAAGAAATTGCAGCATTCTCTTCTTTTAAATAAATCATTTGTTTTCGTACATGGATACTCATATATGTAATGTTATATAGACAGCGGAGAAATTTTTCTATAGGCGAGAGTGAACTAAATGTTGAAGGATAAAAGATAGACGATTATTGGCTCTATAGAAGAGAGTAGAAGTATTCCATGATCGCAATGTGCAAGCATGGCGACAAAATGTAAACAGATTTATTAAAAAAACTAAGTAATTGCTAATTAATAAGAAAAATAAATATAGAAAGTGTCTATAATGGTCTACAATTTATATAATTTATATAAGAGTATAATATATGTACTCCCAGTAAGCAAGGAACATTAAATTAACGTTTAGAAACGTTGACTTCATGTGCATTGTTTAGACATTTTTTAACAATATTGCATTTATATTTTTCACATGTTATTTTGTGATATGATTTTTCTGAATGTTGTTTAAACGATTTAACAACAAATTACAAAAAATATATTTTTCAAATGTTGTATTTCAACATTTATTTGAGATTAATGCAACATCTTAAAAATATTTCTGATCTATCTATATCGATTAAAAATATTTCTGATCTATCTATATCGATTAAAACGTTATGATAATTCTATTTTAACATTATTAACTTTCAAATCGCGGTCAAAGTATATTCATAATGATGTTTGATACAATATTAAACACTACATATTTAACGATATTACAGGTTCTTCAATATCATTGTAGCAACGTTGTATTAATGATTTCTTGCTTATTGGACGATTTCTTGCGTTTTACACAGACAGAACACTGATATTGAACAGATAAGGACAGACGAGCATTGTCTGCACCGTAGTGTTGCGGTACC